TGGTTAATGGTTCCAAACCTCCAACTGCTTCATGGGAGAAAGATGTGGCAGTCTGCTTCTAGAAAGCTTGCAACCTTGTAAACCCTATTCAGCAGTTCTACTGGTGTGGTGCTGTAGGATCCGCACTGGCTTATGAGCCACAGGTCAGTTGTTCCAAGTCACCACCTACTTCTCAGAAACCCTATACTGGGTTGCTATGAGTTGTAGCCAACTTGATAGCACTTAACAACAACAACTACTGCTACTGCCCTGTAAGGATACTATGACTCTATCCTCCAGGGTCACTGTGTGTCAGAATTGGCAATGGGTTTTTAGATAGGTAGATACATATATGTTGTTGTTGTTAAGTGCCGTCGAGTCGATTCCGACTCATAGCGACCCTGTACAGGGTTTCCAAGACTGTAAATCTTTACAGGAGCAGAAAGCCTCATTTTTCTCCTGCAGAACTGCTGGTAGTTTCAAACTGCTGACCGTGAGATTAACAGCCCGATTCATAACCATTACACTACTTAGGATAAATTTTGATGCAGGTAGCAAATTAAATAACCTCACTTGAAGTGAAGTAGCAGGGGAGTTTGAACAATTTTTTTAATTTGATGATTTAATAGAATTTTTTCTTTACTGAGGTTGGCATAGAAGGATTATTATGAAAGTGGACCTGAAATACAAGGGTATGCACTTTGACTGTTTTTCCAAATGCTATTTTCTATTAATTTATCTCCTCTTGACCAGGTTGATATGCTAACATTTATTTCCCTTACTTTATGTGGTGAATTAATCATGGCTATAAATTCTTTGAGTCCTGGTGTGCAGCTGTAGGACAAACACTGGATTGCCAATGGCAAGGTCAGCAGTTCCAACCTACTAGGCACTCCTTGAAAACCCTCTGAAGGTCACTATGAGTAGAAATTGGCTCCACAGAACTAATAACACCAACAAATTCTTTCAGAGTCTTTTCATTAAGATTTATTTCCCCTCCTCTTGAATGTGGGCTGGCCCTGTGTCTGCTTAACAAGTAAAATGCAATGGAAGTTACTACTGTCATTTCCCGGCTCTCTTTCAAAGGATTGACAACTCTCTTCCTCTTAAGATGTTTCCTCTCAGAGCCCAACCAATCACATTGCTCTGAGAATTCCAGGCCACGTAGAGAGGTCATGTGCTTGGACACCCAGCTATGAGTTGGTACCGACTTGATGGCACCTAACAACAACAACAACAACATACCTTATCCTTGGAGTCCTGGTATGGCCCTGTGGGTTAATGTGCCAGACTGCAAAGCTGTTTTGAACTGCAAGGTCAATGGTTCAAGATCACCAGCTGTTCCTTAGAAACCCTATACAGGGTTGCCATGGGTTGGAACTGACTCAATGGCACTACACAATAACAACAATGTACCTTATCCTTATAACTATTGAAAATCACTAGGCAATGTTTTTAAAAAGCTTTCATTTGGTGAACTAGGAGCATTAAAGTTCATTTGCCAACTATATTAAGGTAACAATACCTATTTTCATTGTTATATTTTCTCTTATTTTTCCATTGAAGCGATGTGTCATTAATACATAATTGTTGTTAATTTTCTTGATTAAAAAGAGAAGCCAGTATATTTTCCAGCAAAAATAGCATGAATTTTGGAATCGGACCCTGGTTCAAAGTATGGCCTTATCGCATAATATACCTGTATATCATCGCCTAAAAGTTGTCTGGACCCACATTATTTTCTTCTAAAAATATATATTCTGTCTAGGATTATTGAAAACCAAAAATTACGTTTATAAAGGCCCTCGCAGAGTGCCTGGCATAAAGGTAGAGAGCAATAAATGGATTTTTTATTGCTGCAGTTCAATTGATAATGTAGTTTTAAGAAGGTAGTGTGATTTTATGTTTTGTCTATTTTTTCAAAAGACACGGAGATACAGAATTTTTTCTTCTTTAGTGGGACAGAGCTTGAAGGGTTACAAAGTATATCCTGTATTTTTTTCTACACTCATGCATATTTTCTCCAAAGGAAAAATGTGATCTCTAACCTCAATTATATTATCCCTTTTTTACTCTCCTTCTTTATTGGTATAAAGGAACTAACTAATGAAGGAATAAAGGCAACTTCTGGCTCCAAGGGCAGATTATTGAGGAATTCCATTTATCCTTCATCTCCTGTTTCACTCCTTTTTCTCAATCATACTCATCTCCAAATAGAGAAGTTTTATTTTCACTTTATAGGAAACTGACTTTCTGAAGACTAATTTTCTTACAAGTGTTTCAACATTTATGAAGTACACATATACATGTGTCCAGGGGGACACATACACATACCAAACTCTGATTTATTTAATACAGGGAAAAGAAAAGTTGTGGCAAGTCACTGGATTCTATCTGATTTTGATGGGTTTTGTTTTTGTTGTTTTTTTTTTACCTCTGGATAATACATTGTTTTTCTTGGTAAGAGTTGGGAATTTCCAATATGACAACTAAAGTAGAGTCTAGTTTTTTTCTTCTTTCTTCGCTGCTGTTGCATATGTTTGCTGTTTTTACTGAATTTTGTGCAACAAATGTCTACATTTTGTGGTGTTTCCAAACCACACAACCCCTTCATGAAGTAGTTTGTTATTCTTTATGTGTGTTATACATATCCACATTACTTATGTGGACAAATTGTGTGTAGGAAATTGCTGTGTAAGATAAAGATTATTTGCCATTGGTGCAAATTAAGGTTTTCTCAAGTATGGGTTATCTTTTCTCATATGACATATTACAGCTTCCGAACCTCATGTTAATCTTTGAGATTAAAATGATGTTGACCATGGATAAAATGCCTGTGTACATGAGTTATTGTTGATTTGCGGCAGGATTGAATAATTAATTGCCACAGATTTAAACTGGTAATCTATGAGAGAATTATAAATTATCAAATTTAGCATAAAATATATCAGTTCATATTGCTTTTGTATGCTTACATGAATGTAGATGATCAACATCTTAATACTTCTTGAGTACTGAAAATGCTTCAATTGAGATTTTCTATAATGTATTTCATATTATTTCTTTGTAAGAAAGCTTTCACTGCTTTAAAATCATAGAGTTAAAGCAAGAAGTGGGACAGATATCAAAATACTGGCTTAAAAAAATGCCATTGAATTGATTATGACATTTGATCTGCAGCAATAAAAACTTCATTTATTGCCTTCTACCTTTATGTCAGGCACTCTGCTAGAGTCTTTACATACGTTATTTTATATTTTCAATAACCCTAAAGCCGTTTGAACCGCAAGGTCGACAGTTCAAGCTTACCGGCTGCTCCTCAGAAACCCTAAACAGGGTCGCTATGGGTCGGAACCAACTCAATGGCACTTCACAACAACAACAACAGTGTAATTCTGCTCTATAGGATTTTTTGTTGTTAAGTGCCTTTAAGCCAATTCCTACTCAGAATAATGCTGTATAGACTTTCCAAAGAGTGGCTGGTGGGTTTGAACCACCAATATTGTGGTTAACAGTCCAGTACTTATCATATAGCTGTAAATCCTGAAGAAGCAGATTGTCACATCTTTCTTCCCTGGAGAGACTGGTGGGTTAGAATTGCTGACCTTTCCCTTAGCAGCCAAGCAAATAACTACCCTAATACCAGGGCTCCTTAAATACAGGTTACTGGCATATAAATGCAGGGTATATAGAATTGAGCTAAAGAATAATTCATTTTGCCCATAAGCTTGTCATCACTGTGGTTACAAGTTTAAAAACCAGTGCCGGCTCTGTTGTTAGTTATAGTGCTGTAAACACAGTTTAAAATATTAATAATTTTGAAACATCTATAATTGTGGATAAATCTCATTTTGAAAGAAATGATAATATTTGGATCCCATGAGTATTCCAAAGCTTAAAAATATTTCAACACAGCAGCTTTTCATAGGACTTTGGCTCTGAATTCTACTGGCTCTGGGACTCATGCGATGGGTATGTAGCACCGATTTAAAGTTTGTAAGGCTCCTATTGGCATTGGTGAACAAAATGGTTCCTTGAAAACCATTCAAGTGCTCAGTCACAGTAAGTGAGGATTTAAGGTTCAGATGTATATATTAACATGCAGTGAGAATGAGAAGTGCTGTTCACTTCTTCCAGGATTTTAACCACTGATGTTGCAAAAAGGAAGAATAAAATCAGCCTGGTAACTATGTGTAGGGTGAAGCTACTGAAACCTAGCCCAAAAGGCATGCTCTTATAGAAAGATCGTTTTAATACTTGCAGTGCAGTTATAGCTGAGGACATGTGGTATATATTACACCACCCAGGGAATCCAACCCTCTGCAGTGTGGAGTTACAATGAAAGGCTAATTTAGAAATAAAGTGGTAACCTTTGCTTTCCTCGCTGTTTTGTTACTTAGCCGGTTCTTGTTAGCTTGGGACATTATTAACTTGGGATGGGGGAAATAGAAGTTTAAAGGTGACCCTCAGAGTAGAACTATATGAACCTCTCTCCCCTTCTCTTGCTCCCCCATACCACTCTCTACAGTGTACACTCAGCCTTTCACACTGGGCATCACAGTCGAACACAATCACTGCACAAACAGATATTTCAGATTTGTGCTTGTCTCGAATGGGCTAAAGGCAGAGCTGTCCATGGTTAGAAAAGTGTTTTCTAACGGTTGAAAACCAGGTAATAATAGTCCTCTTGGTGAAGAAAACTTATTAGAGGGCTAGGAAAGGAAAGCTATCTCTCAGCAGCAGGCAGGAAGAAATTGCTGTTGAAAAGCTTACCTCTCTGGGGAGGAATCAGATATCAGACTTTGCCAAGCCTTAGGTCCAACCCATAAGGTCCCACCTACATCCCCTCCCCATCCTAGCTTTGTTAGATTGCTAACATTGATCCTGGGCTTTTTCTGACCCAACAGTGGGCAGAGGAAAGAGAGCCAGCAAGACTGCAAGCAAGCAAGGTGGGGGTAGAAGACTGGGGCCGCTTTTGTAGAGAAAGGAAGAGAAAGAAAAGGGGGGAGCATGGGGACCAAGCTTAACTGGTGCCTGCCTGCTTCTCTTTGATTTGATGGCCTTTATTCTTTCTAATTGGATAAAATAGGAAGTCACTGGCAGTCCTGGGTTGCTGGGGTACTGATTTTACTCAGACCATCCAGAGCTCTAGAGTGTGGAGAGAGAGTGGTGGGGGCTGGGAGAGAAGAGAGGAAAAAAGAAACAGAGACATCTTTGGATGAGGAGGTACAAGAGAGAGAGAGAAAGAGAGAGACTATGAAGACAGGAAGGACCACAGAGAAAGAAAGTGAATGAGCGCTCAAGAAGGACAAAGAGGAGTGGTTGGGGGGTGGGGATGGAAGCAGGGCGGGGAAGGGAGTGACCGCCCCTCCTGGCCGCACTCTTCCCTTCTGATCCCTCGGTGAGGAGACTGTTTGCAGTGATGCTCAGAGGGCAGGCACCTGCTGCCCTGTAATGATTCAGCCTCTTTCAGCCGCTGCGTTAACACAACAGGATGTTGTTGCTACTGTCACTACTGCCGCTGTTGCCGCCGCCGCTACTGCCACCGCCGCCACCACCGCTGATCCTGCTTTTGCTTTTACTTCTCCTGCATGACAGTTGTTTTCTTCATCTAAGCAGACAGCAGCTTCAGATGCTGGAGGTGAGAAACCTGCCTTTTAGTTTGGGCTACTGGTTTACTTAATTGAACAACAATCCGCTGGTTTTCTATTTTGGTCGCTGTTCCTTTGACAAGCCAGGATGGTTTGAAGAAGCATTGAAAAGAACTAGAAAAGTGGCCCAGAAACAGCAGCTAAAGAATCACAATATACTTTTATTTGGTAGTTGTTAGAAGCTTTAAGAAAAAAAAATTTTTTTCCTTCCTCCTTCTTGAACTCCTCTTGCTTTTGATAATGGCCTTGGACTTGGACTACTTATCGATTTCCACTTATAAGATGCTGTCTCATTTGGTTGGGGGGGACTCTGCATGGTAATGGACCATGAGAGAGGCCAGGCCTTCTGGAGGTGAGCCGATGGAGATTTATTCCCCAGACATGTCTGAGGAAGCTGCCGAGAGGTCCTCCAGCCCCTCAACTCAGCTGAGTCCAGACCCATCTCTTGATGGGCTTCCGGCAGCAGAAGACATGCCAGAGACCCAGACTGAAGATGGGAGAACCCCTGGACTCGTGGGCCTGGCAGTTCCCTGTTGTGTGTGCCTGGAAGCAGAGCGTCTGAGAGGTTGTCTCAACTCTGAGAAAATCTGCATTGTCCCCATTCTGGCTTGCTTAGTTAGCCTTTGCCTCTGCATTGCCGGTCTCAAGTGGGTATTTGTGGACAAGATATTTGAGTATGACTCTCCTACTCACCTTGATCCTGGGGGGTTAGGCCAGGACCCTCATGATGCACTGGATTCAACTGCTGCCTCAGCTGTGTGGGTATCATCTGAGGCTCACACTTCACTTGTCCCTAGGGGTCAATCTGAAACTGAGGTTCAAATTACAGTACAAGGTACCAGTGCTGTTGTAGCCTCTGAACCTTCAGCCACACCAACCCCGAAGAATCGTATTTTTGCTTTTTCTTTCCTGCCATCCACTGCACCATCCTTCCTTCCACCCACTCGGAACCCTGAGGTGAGAACACCCAAGTCAGCAATTCATCCACAAACAACAGAAACTAATCTCCAAACTGCTCCTAAACTTTGTAAGTAGAGAGAGAGCGAGAAAGAGATGAATGAAGGAAGGGGTGGGATTGAGGTCCCAAAAGGTGTTCTCTAGAGTGTGTAGTTCCTTCCCTTTCTTCTTGCATTTTAATTGCATGGTTTTGTTTAAGCAAATCATGTGACTTGATGCTTGGGGTTGCATTGGAGAGATGAGCAAAAGGATCTTAGAAACTCCTGGTGAGTCACTGTTCTAACAGCTCCCTCTAGTCTGATAGTTAAAACCTAGTGAGGGGACCAAAAACTTCAGCATCTGCAAGTCATGCTTGAATTTAAGCTAAGTCTCACTTTTATCTAATATTTCTTAAAATTGAAACTTCAGACAATTCTTAATTATTCTTTTAAAATTAATTTGTGTATGACACTGAGTATGTATGTGTCTTATTTTCTGTTGCAGACTTTCTGTCACCTTCCCTTTACCTTGCTGTTACCTCCCAGCAACCCCACACTGCTTTTATCTGTCTACTTCTCCAGTTCCCTAACCATGTCTCCCCACATTTGTGTTTCAATTGGTTCTTCCTGAATTGCATCAAGTCATAAAACATTTAACAGTGCTCTAGTCTCTGACTAGCTTGAGACTATTGCTCTCCTGACTAGATTATAGTTTCGGTTACAGATTACTTTATTAGGATAAACTGGTTTTTGTTTTTTTTTAGGTTCAAGACACAGTACAATTTTGTAGACCAGGATTTTCCCAAATTAGTTTTGTCCTCTGTAATCAAAGGTTTAAATAGCTTCCTTTGCAGTCATTAAAAAGTTCAAGATCCAAGGTACATCGTTTTTTAGACATGTATCATTTTCGCCTGTCAGGTTGCAGCAGCATTGTTTAATAACCTGTGAGTGAACAGAGTCCACGCTCTTAAAACAATACAGAACAATATACTACTGTTTGTACCAGATCATTGCAGTAGCTTCATAATGGAAAATTGATGAGGATGAAACTATGACTAGTTGATTATTCTAAATGTTTCTGTTGAAGGGAGGTGTTTCCTCTTTTATTAAAAAAAAATCTAATTTCTTTATTTTTGTTTATTTTCCAACTTGGTATTTATGTAGTAAACCTTAGTAGATCAACATTATTAAGTATTCATTGGTAGATATTTCCTTAGTAGGAAAGAGTAAGACAAGATAATTTAGTTCTTAGACTTCAAAAAAGAGTTGACGATAAAGATTTTGTGATGAAATACCCCTCTAATTTTCTTTCCAAACATTACATCTAGTATGAAGTTAAACATATTATAGAAACACAGAAAAACTTGAGTTGTGCGTGTGTTTGAAAAGCATTTTACACACACCAGTTTCGGTGGAAAAGATTTTTTTTTTTAAAGACTTGTTTTTCAGGTGTAATTAGGGAAGAAACTCCTTGATGCACACACTGCTTAGTATTTTTGTCAAATCCCTGAAGCATCATTAAAGGTCTGACAGACATTACTGCATTTGCTGCTTCTTCCCACCTGGCAGAGTGACCGGGAAATAATACCCAGATGAAATGACAGACTATAAAAAGCAAGCGCAGATCCTGCAAAGAAAGCAGAATTTACCATGAAGACAAGGTTACTTCTCTATCATTTAAAACATACACCATTCCTTAAATGTGCCTGAATAAGTTTCATTGTCCAGAAAAATGAATATAACCCTTTGAAAAACTCTTCAACCAAATTATCCTGTAATTTTATAATCTGAAGAAAACAAAGAAACATATAGCACATTTGCCTGATGTAGGACCAGGTCAAAAATTATGTTATAACGTTTTGAAAAATTATTTTTTTAAGTAAATTCTTCTATCGAGTGTTTTAATAGATTATGCATTCCTTATGTATATTTTCCCCCCAAGCCAGAACATTGATTTTGTGGCACTTGCATTGAGTGGAAAAGATTTACTGCTGTCTAAAAGCATCGCAGTGGCCCTTGCTGGCCAGATGTACAGCTGCAGCATTTGGAAGTACATTGCAGACAATCCTGGAGAAGCCATGTGAGCAGGAGTCTTCTGCTTAAAAGTTAAGAGTCAGGCAGTTAGTTAACATTTTAAAGTCTATATGGTTTTCTGTGTGGGAAACTCTAAATATTTTGGATTTCTATCTTAAAAAGACAAACAAGCCAGATCCTAGGATTATTCAAAGTCTGAACCTTTCTTTGGAAAGGGATTGATTGTTCCAGAAACCTCTGTTTTCACACTCAAAAGTACTTATTTGTTTTTCTTGTTTAAAAGGTTGTGACCATTAAATAAAGAAAGCCAAAACAAACAAACAAAAACCCTTATAATTAGTCAATTTGTTATTTCTTTCACTATTTTCTCTTCAGTGGAGAAAGTATTATTCCATCACAGAAAGAAATGGGCTTTCTTTCATCATGAGTGTTTTCGATAGGAAGGAACCAAGGTATGTGTCATGGTTTATATTGTAAAATAACATGCCCGTATCTGAAACATGTGGTCATAAGTGGTTTAATGACTTGATTCTCCCTTTTCTATTTTTCATCTATCTCATCATATTCAGCATATTATGTACAGAGCTGTAGCCTTCAAGGTCATAGTCTGTTGAGGGCTAATTGATTCTTCTTTATCTTGGAGCCTGAGAGAGTAGAAAAGAGACAACCCCAGTAATTGTGTCTGCTGTGTTATTCCCCAAACCAATCTACCTATTAGCATTAGGGTTTTACCTTTTGAATACTACAATTATTTCTTTCCTCGCTGATTTTATTAAAAGTGTTTTATCCTTATTATGCTAAAAGGCAAAATATAATATTTTAAATTGCCCAATTTGTCTGTTTTTCTAAAATAAATGTTTCTTTTCATAAAGTATATAATTTCATATCTACACCATATTGCTACTATATGCAGACAGGTAAATCAAGAAATCTAATGCAAGGTTGGAATACATTTTTTGCTGTTGAAATTTTCCTGTGTGATATTGGTTTCCTATACAACATCATTATACTGCCATGATAAGAGTTAAGTTTGTTTCAAGTCAAACAATACCTGAAGCATTCATTTGTTTTCTTTGCCAACACTTCTTGATACGTTTTACCCTCTATCTATATGGAAAGAACTGACTTTTGGAGGACTGAGAATTTGGATGCCTATAAAAGTAGCTGCATAATTGAACTGTAGCCAAGAAACTGAGGTGCCATTTTGAAAAATAAAATGTATATCTGGGTAGGAGAGCTTAATCAACAACAGATTTTAGATTAAGGAGTATATTGGTATTTTCATCTTTGGGTGCAATTTTTCCCCTTTGTTTTAAGTCTTTTGATTGGGCTGCAAGGCAAACCATTGTTACCACAGTGACACTATAAATTATTACCATTTGTAAAAGCTCAGCATGATTAATTAAATATACCAAAGGATTGCTCCAGTTATAAATGGAATTCATTTGAAGTCCTATGGGTCCTTCTTCTAACTCTTTACAATACTTTTAGGTATTTGAGAACAGTGATTTTAAATAATTTCTTTTGACTTACTTAAGCCTGACTTGCTTACTCCTAAAACATTAAAAACTGGGAAAAACCGGAAAATCTTTATAATTTTACTAATGTGGACACTGGAATCCTGAAAGGTAAAGTGTAATGCTCAAAGTAATAGAAAATAGAGGTTAGTGCCCTGCTCCCAGGCACACTCTCTCTTACACAACACTCACACATACACACACACACACACACACACATGCTTTTCTCCAATCATTTTTTTCCCTGTTCTAGAGAGTGAGACCTTAAGACTAACTCTGGTAGTTTAAGTAACATGTGACTGACCATTCAGGAAGTACTTCAAACGGGACCTCTGGTCAAGCGTGCATAGTTCAGCCCACTAAAATTAAATTTTCCTCTGTCCTTCCTGCTTCACTCTTATTAAATTTTGAGTAGTGGTGGTCTTTTCCCTTTTTATTTAATCATCCATACAATGCTCAGCTTGCTTTTGAAAACAGCTTTGGATTTCTAGGGTGAGCTCTTCCCTAACATATAGCAGATGGCTCTGTGCCTTTCCTCTCTCCTGCACATCTCACTCTGATGTTTCCTTCTATTTCTCTGTGGTACTCAGATTCGTCAGATGCCTTCTTCTCCCCATCTACCCTCCCGCTTATGTGTCAAGCCTTTCTTACTTTTCTAATTGTGCTATTTTGGCTTTATATGTTAATATATCCTTCTATTCCAAGATACCACAGCCTAGTTACTTGTTGTATTTTACATATAACTTTGTTTCACTTTAATTGTGAGTGGCATTTAAACATAGTGCAAACATACATGCAACATGCTAGTTACATATTGGGACATTTAATTCAAACTTTCATCCCCTTCTTTACCCCTCTTTTCCTTAGTGTGCTTCATGCCAGTTTCTCTGTTACATGTGTATACATGACAGTGTTTCTGCATTCCCAGAAATTCTTCTGTTCCAACCCATACATCTTTGTTTTATCCTCCTTTTCCTTTAATAATTCTTTATATTACCCTTTTACAACATAAAGAAAGAAATATTTTGTGGATTGACAAACATAAAGAAGTTCTGATTTATCCAAAGTTAAGCTAGAAGTCTTTGAGAACCAGGAATATAATTCTTGTCCAATTAGTCTATTCAAATTTCTACCAAACCATAGGAGTCCTAATGTGGTACTGTAGAGCTGCTAGAGTCAAGGTAGGTGGTTCAAATCCACCATCTGCTTCTCAGAAACTGTGTTGTTAAGTGCCGTAAACTTGGTTCCAACTCATAGAGACCCTGTATGGTTTCCAAGGAGCATCTGGTGAGTTTGAGCCACCAACCTTGCAGTCCAAAATGACCTTGTGCTTTATCCTATAATGCCACACCAGTTGTAACTGACTCAATGGCACTTAACAACAAACACCTAGACATAAACTATACCATGTCTACATTTATTCTCATGATTCCATTTTGGTAACTTTGCCATGTATATTTTTCCATTGTACTATTATGCTTTCTTTTTATTCATTCATTTATCACTTGGACAGCTGAAATATATCCTACATCTCTTCTGCT